GAAATGGAGGCCACAGAGGTGGGGCTGGCCCAGAGCCACACAGTGAGCAACAGAGGTAGAGTCGGCTTCCAAGTCTGTGTCACCAACACAAAAGACAACTGGTGGATTTCAAAGTTTCTTAAATATCCAGGTTCCCACTTGCCTCTAGACCTCTGCATGACTCACTCACTCTCTCTGCCAGCGGGACCCCCTCTTTCCTCCCTTCCCCCCAACTGCCCACAAACCCTACTCCTTCAGATCTCAGCCTGGACAACACTTCCTCTGGGAGGCCTTCCCCGCCCCCAGGGGATCTGACAGTATGCTACACTTAGCCCATTGCGCTGTAACCATCTGACCGCCTTCCCCGGGCAGAGCTATGTATGGACAGGGACCACCTCAGTCTGCTCACCACTGTACTGCCCAGCAAAGCCCAATACCTGATACAAGTACCATTTGTACAAAAGAAGAATGGAAGCAGGAGTGACTAGCCCCACATCAACATACACACCGGTACACATCTGCCCACACAGGCACACAATGGGACGTTATCCTTACGCTGAAATGACAGCGCTTCATGTGCTGGACCAAAATTCAGAAACACTGACAGTTTCGAAAGTAATTTCTGTGTCCACGTAAAGAATTTTCAAATGTCATGGCTGCCGAATGGAATGTGTCTCCATTTTAGGCCCTCGGTAGCCTTGACATCATCCATTTATCAGTGACCTGCTAACTTCACGGGGAACCAGACAAGGGCTCCCACGCTGAGTGCCCCTGGCAGCAAGAGGAGGGGAGGGTGGGGTGCATTAAAACCGCTTATCCACCCAAACCACTCCAACCTCCTCTAACCTTCCAGACAGTTCACATCATCTTAAAATCCCTGCAGGCCACCCTGGCCGACCTTTTGAGGGGCAAGCCACGGAGAACACTCATTAAGGTTCAATTATAAATGTTGTCTGTACAGAGTGCCACATCCGAGGGCTGCACCGAGTTAAAACGGCCTGGCCCAACATTAAGCCCACTCGTGTTCTCAGACCGCAGACTCGTGTTCTCGTCCCTTACACACTCTGTGGACGTTCTGTTTAGTTTGATTTAGAATTTCCCAATACTGTGGAAATACAGGCAATGAGAGCAGGTTTTCTCTAAATGTCCTCAGAGACAAGAGTTCTATCCATAAGAGGCCCTCAATAAGCACTTGGTTAATGGAGTCGCTGTATAAGATGAAATTAATATTGATTTGGGGGGAGACAAGGAATGCCCTGATGAGATTTCATGTCTATTGTCGAACTGAGTGTGGCCTGAGAAAATGACAGGCTGAGAGAACAGAAATGTTCCCCGTCCTCTCTTGGCCTACTCAGAGTCCCCATCTCTCCTCGCCTCTCTCGTCCACTTCCCAACACGGCGTAAAGGGCCTGTGATCCGAGCAGGCAGGCATGAAGCACTGCGTTTGGGGAGAAAGGACACAAGTGATCCTGGGAGGACGGCAGACAGTGCGAAGTCATCGAAGAGGCTGCACAGAGAATTGTTTCTCTGCTCAATGAAATGCCAGCGGCCTCAAAAGCAAAGCGAGAGGCCACGCTCCGCCTGCACACACAGCCATAATCCGCCGGCCCTGGTCTCAGGTCCCCGGGAGATGATCCAGCAGACGCTGCCCACACGTCGGGGAGACGCAGAAACCACCCGGGAGCTTAGCATCTCAGAAGATAAAGGCTCAGTGGCTTATGGCAGTGGCCCAGGTGGGAGCAGACTTATCTGCCAAACACTGGGAGAGGAAAAGGGACATCTTTTAAACAGAGAAAACAGAACAATACGTGAGATAACAAGGAACAATCTTATGCAAACTCATTATCTCGAGGTGGAGGAAAAACATGAAAAGAACAGGAACTACCTGTCCCTCTAGAAGCTTCCCTTGGTGGCACAGACACCACACAGCACAGCAGCGGGGACCCAGGCCAGACCCCGGGGGAAATCACCCTCACTCTCCGTACTTCCTTCTGGGGAAAGATTTCCTGTAAATCTCCACACCCCCATCGGGAGCGGGAGCGGGCGGCTTACACCGGAAGAGGCATGGCCGCTCCAAGACACACCAGCGCAGCTCGTGGTCGACCATCACTCTGGTTGTTGGATGGGGAGCCCTGTCAGGATTTGCATTACAAAGGAAGGAGCAGAAAGGCACCTTAGAAATGACAAACTGCTTTCACCGCATCGTCTCCTCTGATCTCCACACAATGTTACATAGTAATTCCTATTAGATGTATATTTTTTTTAATGAATGGGAAAATAAAAACTCAGATGTGAAGGGACTTGCTCTGAGCTGTAGGGTCCGTCAGCATCAGAGCTGGAACCAGGAGCAGAGCCCAAGTCTCTGAACGGCCGAGGCCAGCCTGGCGGACATAGCTGCAGTGCTCCAGCCCCGGTGGGAGGAGGCCGGGAGCAAAGAGCAGAAACTGGCAATTACTCTGCCCTACTGGGCTCCTGCGGTCACTCGGCCACAACCACCACCCACCACCCACCACCCACCACCTACCACCTCGCAACCGCAAAACCAACTTTCCACACTGCTGTTCAAAGACAGACATGAAGGAAACAGTTGTGGTAACAAGTGAATCCTTTTCCAAGACATTCTGCCCCAAACCATCTGCTCTGGAAAATTCAAATGGGGACCAAATGGTGAGTGTTTCCCTCGTGTGTGTGCGGCACCCCCCTGATGAAAGGGAAGACAGCGGAGAGACTTGACTCCGTAAACAAGAATGCACGGGCCCATTTTGGCCATTGCCGTTTTACTTTTCTGTTCTTTATGCAGAACTTTCAACCTGGCAGACAGAAAACACGTCATTTTTAAGGGTACTAGGTACTTACATATTGAAGGATTGTAACCAGCGGGTTTGGCAGTATATTCGAAGCAGGCCTTAACCTTGAGGCTGTATAAAATTGAACACATACTTCTTAAAAGATGCATTATTGCAGCAGGAAAAAACCAACACGTCCCCCAGCTCTCAAATCCCCCCACGGCTCATTGATGAGCAAATTGTTACACATTCACTGGGCAGATTCCTCTTCCCTCCGCCCATTTCTCAGTCTTCCCTGCAGCTCTTCAGGGCGATCCTGTGGTCACAAAGCAGACGTGTGAAACCAAGGGGTCTGTGGGCACGGCAGACACTCACCAGATCCCACTGGGCGCCCCGCAGGCCGTTTTCTGGCGGAGATCGAGCCTGTTGGGTGTCACTGTGATGGTTTTCTGAATATTAATCACAGGCCGGGATCTGAAGACAAAGGAGTAGGAAACAAGGTCAGTCCTTGCCTCCTTGCATGTAAGATGAATTCATCATCTACACTGGCACCTCAGCTGCCCCATACGCCTTAAAACCACAGGAGAAAATGTTCCCCCGTGTAATTCATTTCCTTTATGACTGAAGAAAGTAACTGTTAAATATACTTTAAAACCCGATTCTGTAAAATTTACTTAAAATTTTTAAATAACATTGAAAATTCTAAAAAGTTTTAGTTTTAATAGGATTTTTTTTCACTGAAAGAGTAATAGGTACGACATGTAAAAGTCCCAGGGTTTTCAAGCAAATAGTGTCTCCGTCCCATCCAAGCTCCCAAGTGGCCTTGTGTATTCTCCCAGACACGTCATAGTCCATGTTGGTTTAAAATTAAATATAAAAAGATACACCTAATTATTTAAATGGGAAATCCCATGCTTTCTGTTGCTTTTCCCATTTATTAACGTTTTGGGTCTTCTCATGTCTGTTCACACGGTTCCCACAGCTGGCGGGGCCGCGCTGTGCTGAGGCGACAGCGTGGATGTAACCAGCCCCTCGTCGGTGCCCATGCATATTGTTTCTGGCTTTCAGCCCTGACAATTCCTAATGCATCAGCCCCGATACATTCCTAACAGCAGAGTGAGTCAAAGAACATGTATATTTTAACTATGAGTAATCTCGCCAAAATAGCCTTCACAAAGGTGACACCAGCGTACCCCTAAGAGCTGGGAAGCTCACTATTAGGATTTCTGCATGCACATGAGTTTTAATGACACAGGCGATCCTGCACCACAGGCCTCCATCTTACAAACATTCACCCTTCCCTGTCCACCCCCGGAACCACCATCCCCAACCTTGAGTCCTTGCCCTCCTGCTGCCGGAACGGACTACAACTTTTCTGCCCCACAATATCTCTGTAGGCAAACCCTCGAGTCCCTCAACCTCTCCCCTCTGTGCTCTACCTCACCCCAACCTCACAAACACTCAGGACGATGGAATCCCACACCGGGTCTTTTCACAGTATAAAAGCATCTTCTCTCTCCCTTACGTATTCACCTCTACTCCCCACAGCCACGGGGTCAGTGCTGGCCTGTGGCCTGACCTCTGCACGGGCACAGTCCTGCAAGTGGGCAGTGGCTGGGGGTGTGAGTGGGATGGGGAGATACCTCTCGCCTCTGTCTCTCTCCAGCCAGAACTCAGAGCGGGTTCCGTGGTTGCATTACCACACAGATTCCGTTAGACTGACTGTAGTGGGCTTGCGGTGAACCCGGCCATGCTGGAGAAGTATTCTGGTAGGAAAATGCATTCCAATTCCAAAAAACTAGGTTGAACCTCTGGAACCAATTGGTCAGGAGGCCAGAGAGGGCACTGGTACACTCTCGGGGAAGGTGGGAGCCAATAAAAGGCCAACGCTGCCCACAGTCTGTGTCTCCCTTTCATCCTATTGTAATTTTACATCTTGGCAGCTGCTAGTTCCTAAGATACTAGCTAGAGACACTCCAACTTTCAAGAGCATATTTAAAAGGCAAAAATTCACAGATCTTTTAACACCAGTTGCTATAGATGCTAGTGTTTTGAATATCATAGCATTAAGGCTTCAGGGTGGCACAAATTTCAAAAGAAAGTATTTTAACACATTTTGGCCAAACTCTATTTTTACTTGTTTTTTAAACACCCAACATCCACATGCAATTCTGAGTATACAGTATACCTGAATCGTGAAAATTTTGCCTTTGAATACATAAAGCAAATCTTTTTGACCCAGCTGTCTTGTATTTAACTGGCATCTATTTATTAACTACCCTGAAGTTCTAAAATGATTTAATGGGGAAAATGTCCAGGGA